GCACAGATGTTACAGCTAGGATCACACAGTTAATTATGACTGAGATGGAAATTAGAACTCTGGTCTACTGTTTCATAGTCAGCATGATATGCATATTATAATAAATGACATCTCTTTAAAAGGGTAGTGAGCTGATTGAGAAACCACTTGGTAAGTGTTCTTATCAACCCGAGCAAAGTAAAAAAGTGAACACTTATGAAACATTAGCATATTTTGAATGACATTCTTATTGCCTATTCTGTATTCATGATTGTTTAAAATGAATTTGTCGACTTAAGTAAGAAAGCACCACAGAAATTCTCCTTAACATTACTTAGCAAAAAGCATGGCCTCTCTCTAGGGAAAGCCTATTTCAGTTATGTCAGCAAAAGGCCGGACTAACAAATTAATCCCTGTCTTATCGAAAAGACATTGATTCAAATCTTGCCTGAACTAGAGTCCTTGGAAATCTGATGGGAATAGCTCAGGCCTGCAAAGAATCTTATGAGGAATGACCCTGTTGGTTTTCAGTTCTATTCTTAGTGGAATTTGGTGTAAATAGCTTACAAGCCTTCTCTTATCTCAGTGTAGTTCGATTTATCAACTGTGTTACATCAGATTAGAACTGGGGTATCAAAAATTTCGGTCTCCCATAAGTTGTGGAGTAGATAGGATACAGAATAATTCAATAAAGACACAGAAAAAAAAGATACATTTGACTCTGATCAATCTTCACAGTATTAGATGTGTCATGATTCTTTATAGACATGAAGATTGAGGGTATGTACAGAAAATAAAAATGGATGAATATCATCCAGACTGAATGAGATTCACAATGAAATAAAGCCCACAGGGCAATTCACCTGAAGAAGCAGAACTCATAACAAGATGACTTAATGTTTAATAAAAGTCAAATAATGGCAAGCACTTTTGGGGGCAAACTATGAGCCAATCTATTCAACTACAGAGGAGATCACTTCCCTAGAAAAATTCTTATTTTTTCAAAATTAAAGGGTAACCCCAAATTGCAAGGGCATGTCTGGAACAATCTGCTGGTCTTTGATCCCTTCTATAATTTGGCACCTAAGACCAAATAAATTTGGAGAATTGCTTTACTTATTGTCACGCCTAATTTTACTTTTCTGGTTTCTCAAGGGATATTGCCACATAATGAATACAACACTGGATTTGGAACCAGAAATACCTAATTTTAAAACTTTTCTCAGACTTTCTTTGCCATGGGACTATAGGCAAGTCACTTGCCATCTCTAAACCTCAGCTTCCTCATGTGCAGAATGGGAGAGAAACTGTAGTGCCCACCCCTCAGGGTTGATATGTTTAAAAAGGTGCTTTCTCAAATTTGAAATAATATATAAATGTCAGCTCTCATTATCACTGTCACTATTATCATTATTGAGAAATATAGCCCATGGCACAATTCAACACAGGCACACAGACAACAGAAATGCAGGTGTTTCATCTTTGTTGGCTTCCTTAGAAGAAAGAAAAAATAATTGACAGATTTTGCTTATGATAGAATATGAGCATTCCCCAGAATATGTGGGAGGCAAATTTGAGCATTAGCACTGAGTTTTTCAGAACTGCATCTTGTCCGGAGGCAGCTGATAGTTTGATTAGCTCATTTGTAAGGGTCTCCTCCCATACTAAGAAATTCAAATTGCATGTAAAATTATTCCAGAAATATTAAAATTAAAATGATTCTAATTGCTACCCAAATATTTTAAGCAAATGGTTTTTAATAGTTATTTTAACTAATTGCGTGTCACCTAATGACTACATGGAACATTGAATATGATTATTGCAGATTCACCACAGGCCATTAATTCTTCATTCTAGGCCATAAAAATCCTGGAATATGACACTATCTACTGACAGGAAAGTATTTAATATGAATAGTAATATATGTGATCTAACCAACCTTGAATTACTCCTTGAAGTAGGAGGAGGTATAAGGTATCGGCTACCTTTTCGTCTGCAGATATCTGGCTATCTTTATTAGTATGGTTCACTTGACTCATTCTGAGGCCATTTCTACTCTGAAAGATTATAGTACCTGAATTACCAGGGATCTGAAGAACCAGTCTTCACATTCCCCTTACCACTGGGGCTTGAAATCAGTTAAAATCTGTTCAGACAGAGGCTTCCAAAATAGTGAACTTCACTTTCTTCTTATTAACTACTCCGATGAAATCAATCAGTCCACCTACTCCTGCTGAAGTGAGGACAAAGTACACTGAAAGCATTGAACACAGAGGTTTTTAAAACTTTTTTATGTCATATATGCCTTTGGCAATCAGTTGAGGCCTATGGAGCTCTTCTGAGAATAACATTGTTCAATGTATAAAATAAGTACATAGAATTACAAAGGAAAACAAAGGATAGTAAAAATAAAGATGTATTTTTTTTTCATTCACATTCACAGACCCTTTGAAATCCATCCACTGACTCCTTGGGGGTCTCTGGACCACAACCTAATAATTCCTGTTCTAACATTATTCTATTGGGAAATAGGTGGTAATAGGCATCATTTTGGATGCCTACACAGAACATATTATTCTATTTGTTTTATTACAATAACTGATTATCACTAGGATTTTCAGCCCCACAGAATGTCTCTCTGGGGATTAGCTCATCAATATCTTGGTATTTTTTCTGATTGGGCATACAGACTACATTTATTGCAAGAGAAATCTACAAGATGAAGCTAATTCTATGAAGACTAGAATTTAACGCTTCTGAAAGTAAAATCAAATGTTCTCTCCTAAGCTACACTGATACACTGAGACAGGTTTTTCCTTGGCTGTTTACCTTCCAAGTTGCTTGGTGAGTAGATAATCTGAATGGGTTTGTTACATTTTTGCAATACTCTGCAGAAGGAAGGGGCATTCCATGTGCTTGCTTTAATCAGTTGAGGACAGAGTATGCTGATATACAACTTATCAGAGAAATTTATCTCTTAGTAGGCTGTTGTGACTCCCATTTGACAGATACCTGCTAGCATAGAAGATGTACTGGAAGGCTTTTGGAAAGCAGTCCTATATGATCACAGATACAACTGAGGTGCTTGTAAGAACAATAATGGACTTCCTACCCAAGAGACCTTTTCTTTTTTTTATGAACTATTAGTCAAATGCACATACACCCTTCCCATGACAGATTTTCCCTAAAGCGCTTTTAGCCTCCACAGAAAGTTATCTGTAATTATGAACTGAGTTCCAACAAAACTGTAGCCAGAATTTTTGGGATCTGAGACAAATGCCAACCCTCCCTTCCCAGAACCAGCAGCAGATAAACCTCAAACAAATTTTTAAAAGACAAATACAATTGGGGTGGGGGTGGACATATATCCAAAAGAAAATCACTTGGCCTTTGGCAGTGGCATTTGAAGGGAGGTGGTAAAATCATACACCATTTGGCAGCTTCCTATTTTTAAGATTTTTGCCAAGTGCTAAGCTCATTTGTTTCTTTGCTTTGGAAGGAGTGTAACTGTCATCAATGCCCTCTAAATTCTGGCACCCTAGGAGCAACGTCACGCTTGTCCCACCCTAGTTATGCTTCTGGGTCAGTCTTTCCAGATAATTTTAGAGTTTTTACAATAGAAAATGAAAGCCAAAGATTTTACTTCAAGTTAGATGTAGATATTTGTATTGTCTTGCTGAACAGAGAGGGAATAGACCTGTCCTATTAAAAGTGATTTGATCTCCTGTTAATTCTCCAATTGAAGGTTAACATAGGACCAGTCCACACCTCTTTATGGTTACTCCCAGGAAAAGGAACTGGCTCCTTCTAGTCATTCTCATAGGCCTAAAGGTGAGCCAGATATAGACAGTCCTCAGCTGCAGTATGAGAGAGTGCTGCTCTACTTTATTTGGGGGTATTTGCCATTATGTGGTACTACTGAACTCATGCCTTCATTTCCTCCCTCCAGTAGAATTTAATCTTGAACATATAAACTTTTTTTTGGGGGGGGGGGTCTTTGGATCCTCAACACCTAACACAGTGCCCCAGAAACAGAAAGAACTTAATAAATGCTTATTAAATGAAAGAATGTATTTAATATGCCATTTGCCATATTCAAAGAATCACTGAAAGTCGGAGATGGAAGGGACTATTACCTGGTTGAGCACCCTAATTTTTTTTTAAATGTTGGGTTATTCATTTTGAGAACCTGTGGCAGTAAATGAAATCTTAGTGAAGAGGTGGAGTTGATTGAACTCTGCAGATGAGTGTAAGTACATAGGAGACAGTAGACCACTCACTCCCAAGTGGAAATGAGTGGAGGGGCCTATTAATTGGTGGTGCTCTTCTAGACTTATCTGAAAGTGAGGTAGGTGGAAGGAATACCAAAATCTTTGCTCCCTCTCCATCCCCTGGTTCCCCTCAATATCAGACCCAGCCTTTGCAATGGGAAAACCAGAAAACTGAGGGAATCAAACCCCCATAACCAGAATTTCAGCTTCCTTTGCCAAAAGGCCTAAAAAGGACATGGAAATTGGGAGAGACTACCCTTCTCTCTTCAACCCCTTCTGAAGACATTTTTAGTAGTTAGAAGAGGGATGGGGAGTGAGAACTCCCTGATGTATGCCTCTTTGCAAGGGGTAGACCATTTTCCAGCCTACTGATGACAGGTAAGACATAACCTGAATTCTTTTCCAGCTAGTGAGTAAGAATTAAGATCATATACTACTTTGGAGAAGGTGCTTCAAGCAAAGATTAGAGTATAGTTTGGCGGTTGGGCAATTGGCCATTAAAGGGAGAGAACACCTGGGTCTTGGCTGGGGACTGAGGCCTGGCATGGAAAGCTGGGTTTACAATGAAGCCCACTCTTGAGTTGAGAGGATGTGGATCCCAGGAAATGGAATTTGGCAGTGAGAACAGAAGGCTGGATGGGAATGGGGCTGGAAACTTGGGTAAAGGACACCAAGGTCCTTGAGAACTGGGATGGGTATGGGGGAAGAGGAATGAGCTAGATGCCCGGGTCCCTCAAAGGCAGAAGCAACCTAGAGGCCTGGGTTCTCCAACAGCAGCCACGTCAGGACTCCAGGATTTTTGCGCGTCCTCCCTTCCCCATTCCCTCCAGCAAACTGGGGGCACAGGAAGGGGAGAGTCAAACCGTGGGTTTAATCCCCAAACAGTGACGGATACATTCAAGGCCAGACAAATGGAGGGACGAGGAGAGGAGGGCGAAGCTCAGGGCTGGACGGGATCAGGCGAGGCCTGGGAGGGGTCAGCGAGGAGGGTAAGCGCGGCTGGGGGCCGGCCGGTGGTGGGGCCACGCTGTCCCTTCCGGTGGCCCCGAATACAGTGAGTGTGGCCACAGCTTTCATCGTGCTCATCTTCGCTCTCCGTGGAGCTCTCGCCGAAGGCCCGAGGCTCTTTGTAGATACAACAGCACTTGGATGAACGGCGGCCCAGGTGCTCATTGTCCACAGTGTCAGTAGTCCACTCCACCTTCTTGTCCGGCTTCGGCTTCCGAAGTTTAAAGGTGACGCTACGGTTCTCCCCGCTACGGCTCTCCCCGCTACGGCTCTCCCCGCTACGGTTCTCCCCGCTTCGGTTCTCCCCGTTCCGCTTCACCGCTTCGGTTGTCACGGTAACCGAGCTCTCGCTGATGGTCTCCTTCCGCCCGGCCTTGGTCTCTGCCATGGCAGGGGCTGAGGGTGGGAGCGGGACGTCGGGCCGAGCCGTTATCTGCCTTTTCCTGGCTCCCTCGGGAGTACTCCTCCGGGAGTCGGAGGAAGTAGGAGTCGGGGTCCAGTTGTTGCTCCTCCTGGGTCTCGCCCCTCACCCAAGCAGCCCACCACCCCCACTTCCGGCCCCAGGCTTCCGGGTATTCCTCCTCGTTTTACAAAAGAGAAAAAAAATGGAAGCCCAAGGAAGTGACGTCACGGGGCTGAGGCAACATCTAATTAGAATTGGAAATTTAATTTTTTCCATTGCCCTGAGGAAAGTTCTAACAGAAAGAGACTAGAAAGATGAGTAGGAAGACCCAAAAGACTAAATGAAGGACTCCCAAACTTTCCTTGATAAAGAGCTAATTTTCATTTCCTGAAAGGCTTATGATTATGCCTGGGCAAAAGAGAGATTACTAAGAATACAAGTCCCTTAAGGGTACTATTTCCTGTGCAATGTCGGGCATACTTGAATTTGGTGGCAAAAGCTAATTAATGTGTCTTATGAATTCCTTAAGGGCACAGACTGCTGTCTGTGAACTTCCTTTAGTACAGCATCAATGAAATATAAGTACTTACAGAAAATACTTAAAATGGTAGGTCTCATGGGTCCATCTAATCCAGTATTTTGTCTCTGGTAGTTATGCCAAAGAATATATAATGGGTTGTCATAAATAGGAACAACCTCAGGAGACTAGGGATATACTCCTTAACATCTTCAGTTTCTTTTAATAACCTAGTGGACCATGCCTTAAACCCAAATCATTCTGGCTCTTATTGATTGTCCAACAATAGGTCCCAGCCCAAGCCTCACTTGGTCATTGTTTGGATTCTGATGGCTCTGCAGGTGAGAGTAAATAGCACTTATTTCTGTTTTGGCCAGAAACCCTGAGGGTCTTCCCCTCCCAGATTGATTTTTTTTTCTTCCCTTTTCTTTTGACTACATAAAAGAGGCCATTCTTTGCCTCATTTTTAACCTAATCTTAATCACTGAATGTGCATTGCCTCAGATAAACTGAGATAGGGAAAGACCTTAGCTTAAAAAGACCAAGACCTCTCACCGCATCCTGGTATCTGCAGTAGTCCTGATCTGTATCTCACCACTGAACCAAGGTGGCTCTGGAGGAGACTGGTGTCTTTGCATAGTCCTGCCTCACCTAAATCCAATTCACTTGCAAATCATGACATCTCCTTCCTAAAGTCGTAGTCCTCTTTGAGAATGAAGGACAGATACCTTCAGCAATAACCTGGCATAAATTTATTTTGTTTGAATTTAACGTAGCCATTTTGAACCTATTTATATTTCCATCCTATATTACCAGGGAAGCAGAATAGTGTAGTTGATAACCCCTGACATACAGTAGCTGTGTAACTCTAAGCAAACTCCTTAGCCTGTTGGTGCTCTACACAGCTCTCTAAACTAGAAATTACCAAGAAGGTGCTGACTTGCATGAGAAGAGTCAGTTTCTTCATTCAGAAGCTATATTAATGAAATCACAGGTTTAATCCCTATTCCTGTATTATTTCTTGGGCTGATGTTTCATAAGCTTATTATTCACTGAGTCATTACTTCCTTCTGTCTTCTTTTGTCTTCAAACAGCCTTAAAACCCCAAAAGGTGAGCCATAGTTCTAGTCTTCCTGGATTTGCTGACAGATTGTTACACTGTCCATAGTCTTCATGATTTTATCAGGTATGCTCATTATCCCCTCTCCATAATTTTCTTTCTAAATTGAAAAGTTATGCTCTCTTTGGTCCACTATAGTTCCATACATCCATTTTCTTCTTTGATAATTTTAGTTGCTCTTCTCTGGCAGCCAAGTACTTCATCATTCATCATTGTCAAAATTTCATTTCTGTTTTCCTTTCCAACACCCTTCATAAGCATGTGCACTATTTTGTTGACTTAATCATTTGCAATAGTACATTAAACTACAATCCTCAGAGAATAGTCTAAATGACTCCTAGATCTCTTTCTTGGGTTGTAACTGATAACTCAAAGTCCATCTGAGTGGACCCAGTTGTAGTGCTGGAAGGCACAGATAAAGGCTAGTGTGGGGCCTACAACCCTCAAGCAAGCAATTCCTGACAAGTCCGGAGTATACACTTGACGTTAATAAGGAGAAGAGCTCATGTTTCTATGGTGCTTTAAGGTTTATAAAATGCTTCCCCCTTTCCTTTCACAAAAAAAATTCCTCCAAAATTCCTCTACTTCTTTACCTTCTGCCACCTTTAAGCCCTTTTCACTCTTTCTTCTGACCCCAACATTTTAATGAAACTACTCTCTCCAAAGTTGCCAAGTATGTATTTCTTGAATCCAATGACCTTTTCTTAGTCCTCATCTTTTTTTTTCATTGTTACTTCTTTGTAGCATTTGGAGCTGTGGACCATCCCTTTCCCTAGGATATGAGTTCAGATCCTGCCTCTGACACTTACTCATTGTGACCCAAGGTAATTCATTTAGCCTAAGTCATTCTCAGTTTCTCCATCACTAGAATGTAGAAAATAATAGCAATTCCTGTTAGGGTTCTTGTAAGGATCAAATGAGGAAAGCACTTTGCAAACCTCAAAGCTCTATATAAATGCAAGCTATTATTATTCAAAAATTTTATAATATCAGTATGGATACTCTCTTCACTGATGCAAATCACAATCTCTCTCACCATAAGAGGAGCTGGGGTTACATCCTGGCTCTGCACTTAATACCTTTATGACCTTGGGCAAGTCATGTCCCTTCTATGGGCCTCCTTTTCCTCATCTCTAAGATGAGAGAATTGGATTAGATGATCTCTATTGTGCCTTCCAATTTTAAATCTATAATCATAATTTTATGTCCTTTGTAGACAGTTTCATTAGTTTCTGTGGACAGAATATTTATTACCTGGTGACCAAATTCCTGGTAAAGAGTCTTTCAAACCTTAAGATTAGGCCTTGGATGGATGACTCAGAGTTCCTTGCTAGACCTGTACTTAAAGCCATCGCATTTTGGTAAGATAGTCATATCACGTGTTTTGTTTGCATAACCTTTTAGAAGTTAACCATGCCACCATTAGGAGATGGGAGGATGATGAAATGTAGTACTTCAGTTAACAGAGTTAGAAAAAACATCTTTACATAGTTAAACTATATTGTGTGATATATAAAAGAAGAGGGAAAAATACAAATTGTTTTCCTTAAAGAACCTCATCACTGTGGGACTGAGGGTCCTGCTCTTTCAACTTTGATATGAAAACAGACTTAGTTGTTCCTACTTCACATAAGCTCTTCTTTAAAAAAACAAAACTCTTCCAAAAATCTGATCAGATAGAAGATGCCAATTTCAGCATACGCACCAGATATGCTTCAGTGGCCCATATAGGCTCTTACTTGGTAGTTCTTCCTTTTCTGTGCCATTGTCATATTTAATCCTTTGTTTTAGGTAAAACTTCAAAACCCTGGGGAAGTGTTTCTTAAACAGGGTTTTTTTTTTTTAAGGGATCATGTGACACACAAGCTCAGGAATATATCTGATAATTTAAGAGAAAATAATTTGTGTCAGAATAGTGGAAAGTTTTTTTCTCACCAGAGCTAAAGTTGAATAAGTGATAGAAATATTCTGTGAAGCATGAGTCTTCTTTCGAGGTCCTTTTTCCCCTTGACTTGGAAAGGAATTCTGAATAAGAGTTCTGAGTTTGGGACTGTGTCTTGGAAATCCTGTGAGTTCCTCTCTGCCTATGAGTTTTTTTTTTTTTTAGTAGTTATGGGATTTGTAGTATTTCCTTCCTTGACTTTTAGCTCTTCAAAGTATTGAAAATGAGTCAGCATCTTCCTGGGTTATCAATGTACATGTACCTATGACCTTGGAGTTCCCTGGATGACTATATCCCTTTGACTTCAGTTTACTGAGCCTTTGGTACATTGTGCCATGTTTTGTTTTCTCAATCCCATTTACAAAATAATCTTATTCTGTTGATCTGTTGCTTTGTCTCCCTTGAGTTCTCTTTCGTTGTCTGCCCTGGGTTCTTTTATTCTCCCTCTACATGCTATTTGGTAACTTCATCAGCTCCCATGGATCTAATTATTATCTCCATACAAATGACTCCCAAATCTACATACACATCTCTCCTAAGTTCTAATTATACATTTCCAACTACCTATTGGATATTTCAAACAAATGCCCTATAAGTATGTCAAACTCAACATTACTAATGCACAACTCATTCTTTCTCTCCTACCCCTGCCAAATTACTTCTCTGCTGGACTTTCCTGTTTCTATCAAGGGGACTACCACCCTTCCAGTCACACAGGTTCACAACCTTGATGTTAATCTTGTCTTCTTATCCTCCCTTTTGAATACTAATATTTTTTTGGTGACATTGTATAACCATGAGTCATGGCACACTTTAATCTTTAAAGAGTTAAAGCTGAATGTCTCACAAAGGGCAGTGTAGAGGTACATGGTGGATATGAGAAAGCTGATTTTGAAAGATGACATCAAAGAGATGACTAATTTAAAAAATCAGTTAGTCATATGGGAGAGAGTGAAGGTTAACTGATGGCCAGCCTCTTGCAGTGGCAGATGCAGTACATTTGGTGGATGTTTTCTGGTGAAATTATGGGAGTTACACTGGTAAAGTAGGCATTGATGGGTTATGTAGTCTGTATCACCTGAGTGAACTTCTACATCACAGATTACAGGTCTCATGTGAAATTGTTTATGATCATTATTTATGGGAAAGTGAGGCTGGTGACTTTGTACAGCCCTCCTTCACTTAAATCCAATTCACTTGAAAGTCATGGCATCATCTTCTAGCTGTTGTGGTTCTCTTGGAGAAGAAAGGACAAACCACAACACAACCACACAATGTTCAAGAGAATGCAGGATCTGGAATTAGGAGACAGAGGTCTGATACCTGACCCTGCCATTATTAGCCCATACTTTGGGAGAGTAGGGACTCTTTTTGTTACCCCAGTTCTTAGCAGTGTGTGGCACATT